GACCCTTCCTCAGAACCGTTCTGAGGAAGGGTCACCGGACCCGAAGCGTTAACTTTGTTTTCTCCTTCACAGATGCTGCCAGACCTGCTGAGTTTTTCCAGCAACTTTGTTTTTGTTCCTGATTTACAGTAGTTCTTTTGGTTTTTATTTAGTATTTACCCAGCTTCTACAGTCTTTCCCCATCACTATATCAGGTGGTAAAGAGTTTGAAACATATTAAGCTGCAGGCTCAGACACTAAATTTCCCAGTCAGCCAAACACACTTCCTCTACATTTTTTTCCCCGAACAGTGACTACAGCTAAAGAAACAAACTTCAACTGTTGATGAATCAGAAACAGATGACATTGGAAAATTACAAGACCATTCAGCATCCAAGACAAAATAGCCTCATCACCTTTCAACCTCAGGAAATCAAAGTACTTTAATAGGCAATTGTGTACCTTTTGAAGTGTAGTCATCGATGTAGTTAGGAAACATAACCAATTTGCATACAACAAGCACCCACAGACAGCAAGGTGATAATGACCATATAATTGTTTAAGTGAGATTGGTAGAGGGATGAATATTACCCGAGACAGCAGGGAGAATCCCCAATCCTTCTTCAAAATCCAGGCAGGTGATCTTTTGCATTCAACTAATGAGGCAATTGGATTCCTGATCTAAGACCTCATGAGAAAGACAGCACTTCAGATGGTGCAGCACTCCCCTAGTACTGGAGAGTCCATCTGGATTACAACCTAACAAGCTTCCGTTTCAGGAGAGCGCGACGCACTGGATCGACACTGCTGACATAGAACCATAATGCTTCTAATTTCTCTTCCTCCAGACTGCTGCTGAACGACAAAGGTTGAAAGCCAGAACCAAAGCTGTATTCTGCTTTCCAACCACTTTTAACTCATCTCCAGATAAACATAAAGGAAAAGAGAAGAATTTATATAAATATAACACCTCTCCCGCCCCGGCACGTCCTGAGACACTTCCCAGTTGTGACATACTTTCTGAAGTGCAACCACTGATCATTTGGCCATTTTGACAGGTAGAATATGCGTAGCTGCATCCCTGCCTCAGGTACGGCAAATGACAAGTTGCATTCTGCAGCATTGTTTGCAAAAGGAACATAGGCTCAAAGAAATTATTTGCCACGTACTAGATGAATTAGGAGGAATAGGTTATTTGGCCCCTCAAACCCATTCCGTCATCTGATAAGGTCATGGCTGCCCTAACTGCAAACTTACATCCATTTTCTCACCTCCCCCAATTGAATGTGTTCACTGAACAAGGTCTATCCAATGCTCTCCAACTGAAGTATCAGTTCCAGTTTCTCAACTTTGTAATCTATCACCACTTCCCTCCTCTTGAAAAAGGTCACGATGTAGAGGTGCCAGTGTTGGACTGAGGTGGACAGTCAGAAGTCACACGACACCAGGTTCTAATCCAACAGGTTTATTTGAAATCACAAGCTTTCGGAACGCCCCCTCACTCATCAAGGATCTAACTACCTCTAGCTTAAAAACAGTCAAAGTTTCTACTTCTCCACCTTTGAGAAAGTGAGTTCCAAAGCCACACGACCTTCTTAGAAAAAGAAATTCTCTTGATCTCTGTCTCAAATGACCTCCTCTATTTCCATACAGTGATCGGCAAGTTTCCTCTGGTGGTCCAGTTTCCTCCCACAGTCCAAAGACGTGCAGGTTAGTGGACTGGCCATGCTAAATTGCCCAGGGATGTGCAGGTTAGGTGGATTAGTCATGGGAAAAATGTGGGTTTTTGCAGATTGGGTTGCGGTAGGGATGGTTGATGCAGACTCAATAGGCTGAATGGCCTCTTTCTGCCCTGTAGGGATTCTATGATTACTTGTTCTAGATTCTCCTAACAAAGGGAAACATCCATTTTACATACAACTTATCGAGACCTCTCAAGGTCTTACATAAAAATAAAATACAGCAAATGCTGGAAATCTAGAACAAAAACAGAAGTTGCTGGAGAAACTCAGCAAGTCTGACAGCATCTGTGGAGACAGAGCAGAGTTAACAGGTCAGGTCCAGTGACCTGAAGAAGGATCATTGGATCCAAAATGTTAACTCTGCTTTCTCTCAATAGATGCTGCCAGACCTGCTGAATTTCTGCAGCATTTTCTGTTTTTGTTAGCTATTCATGATGCCAGGTTGGCCAATGGCCTCTTGCCCGCCCACCATCATCTGAGGGTAAGTTTAGCATTCCAGAATCAAAACCTTATTTCCCCTAAAAATAATAATGGGGCAGTGTGGTGCCCAATGAAATCTTTGGCATCAGTTATACCCACAGTGCTTCTTATAACCTTTCCTTTGTTTACATAGACTAGAGATCTCTTCATACTTATAGGAGGCTAGTTACTGCTGTAACACTCAGGCCACACAGGAAAATACTAAGTAAAAAATACAGTATTAAAATAATTTAGTTTTAAAGAGGACTCCTATTTCCAAAATAAGTCAATCAGTAAGACGACAAACATTCACGAGGACGATCCTTACCCCCTACAATTAGATGCGTGTTTGGGAAAAGACTCTTGGCCTGCATCAGTGCCCGTGCATGTCCCGAGTGAAAAAGATCAAAGATTCCATCAGCGTACACCCGAACCGGACGATCCACTGAAAGCAGAAGAGAGATTTTCACTTGCACAGTGCTTCATCGTATTGTTACCATCCTTTTCCGTCAATTCTCAAAATCGGCAGAATGAGCCAAACATCCTTCTACTGTGTTGCATCATTCCGTGGTTCTTGGAGTCGGAATGTCACCAGCAAACCCAATATTTGATGTCCAGTCCTATTCTCCCTTGTGAAGTGGTGCTGTTGAGCAGCCTTTCTGAACCTTCAGAGGGCATTTGCTGTGGATCTGGAGTAGTACACAGGAACAAAGGACTTGGAAGCAGAGGTAGGGCATTTGGCCCTTTGTACCTGCTCCATCATTCAATAACAGCATGACCAATTGCGATTCTCAACTTCTCACAGGCCTGACTGAGCAAGGATGACTTCTGTGATTTTTAATTAGGGCAGTGTCACAGTTTCATGATTACAATAATTGATAAGTTGCTGTGTTGGAATTTGAACTTGTATCTCATTTGTCCATGCCTTGATATTATTAGACCTGTAACATAACTATTACACTACTGTATCAAGGGATTTCACAAATGCTGTGACTTCTACATCACCGGAACAAAAACAAACTACCTCATTTGGTGGCACCTGGTACATTTTTAAAAAATTATTTAAGGTGATGAGGTACTACTGGTTGACCCAGCATTCATTGTCAATCCCTAATTGCCCTTAAGAGGGTGTTGGTGAGCTGCTGTACATTAAACTAAAGAGTTGACAGCTCTATGCACCCCCACAGCCTTGTTACCAAATTAACAATCCCTTGCCAGCTTCCTTGCCCAATTCAAATCTCTATTGCTTGACAGGGAGTCTGGTCAGAATAACATGGGAACAAGAGGCCATGATTTTGAAATGCTTAATATTCTTATCTGCCAAAAATCAATTGCATTTCTGAAGTGTTCAATTAACTCCCAGTTTCAACAGTTTTCTGGGGTGGAGTTTCCAAAACTTTACATCTAAGTGTTTCCTGCCATCACCATTGAACAAGGCTGGATGCGATTTTGGGTTTATGTCCTCTTGCACTAAGCTCCACCCACCACAGTAAATGATTTTTATATACCCTATTGAATCCTTCCATCCCCTTCAAAGTGTCATTTCGATCATCACTTAATCTTCTCTATTTAAGGGAATGCACATCCACACAATTCTATGTGACTTTTAGCTCCAGCGCTATTTAAGTGAATCTGCAATGTATTGTCCAGAGTCAGGTTACTGCTCCTGGGGTCTGGTGTCCAGAATAAATGCAATTACTGCAGAGGCAGTCTATGCTTTAAATTAGATTCTTTCCTCCTCCCACCTTATTCTTCCACTAAGGGCATTTCAGCGAAGAGAGGGCAGCAAGCTGTGGACATTGGCAATGGTTTCCATACTCACAGGGAGTCCCAATCTTTGCTTCTTCCAGTGTCACACGTTCATATGGTTTGCTGCTCTTCACTCCATTCTCGTCTGCAAAGGGTGCCGGCTGTGAGAGGGTCTGTAATGGAACAGTGCAGAGAGAGGGAACCCAGTCACTGGCAGGAATCCATTTTAGGAATTAAGATTAAATAACTGGCCTACATGATCCCAGTGAATTGCCCAAAGAAAGAGACTCCAGTACTTGAATCCACTAGGAGGCAGCTCTGCAAACCTGTCGCTCTCAGCAACACCATCAAGATGCAGCCAGCCTGGAAACTGTGGGAGGTCAAACTGCATCATGGACTGTCCGGTAGCTCCCCTCCTGTCAGCCAATCATCAGCCATGCCAAGCAGCATGAGAGCAAGTATGGAGAAGACAATGGTCATAGAGTAGTTTCTTCAAGGAAGGTAAAAGGCCATTGAAAACAGAGAAACCTGTAGTGCTAGAGACTGAAATGTACTGATATCAGGCACTATATTCTTAAGATTTGCAAATGGTTTTGCACAGTCAATGAACTTTTCACCTTTTATGCTATAAAAATGTATCAGGATGTAAGAAGAGAATATTGTCAGTCGCTGGCAACCTCTCCTCACTTTCTTCTCTGTTGATCTTTTTCAAAGTCAAAAGTCACTTATAACCAGGTTAAAATTCAACAGCTTTCAGATCACTGCTCCTTCGTCAGGTACATGGAGGGAGCGTACGGGCACAGAATTTATATGCAAGGAGATCACTGCAAGATAATTCTAAATAATTAACAGCGTCAAAATATAATACAAATGGCATCAGTAAAGTGTTGACAGGCTGAATAACAAGTCTTCGCAGGTGATCAAAAATGTCAAATGGTGTGAGTAAAGTGTCAACAGCTGAATGGCAAGTGAAGGGATAACCTATGATCCGATTAAATAAGACAAAGAGATAATTACAAAAAAAATCAAAAATAAGATGGTGCTACTGACAAACCACACCACGATAGTATAAGAGCCGCTTGACGAGGGTCTAACCAAAGTAAACGAGTAATCCAAAACTGCACACACTAATTAAGGTAAAGAAATCATAAAAAGTTATCAAGGTGATGGTGCCAAAACAGAACAGTAAGGAAGATTTAACAAACACTGAATAATGGGATGGGGTTACATGTGGCGCGACATGAACCCAAGATCACAGCTGAGGCTGTCTTCTGCACCTGTCATGGATACAGAACTTGGTTTTTAGTTTCAGTTTGGCGATTCTGCATTGTTATGTATCTCAAAGGCTGCCTTGGAGGACACTGTTTGTACTATCTTGTGACACTCTTAATTACCTAGAATTATCTTGCAATTATCTCTCCACCTATAAATTCTGTGCCTGTGAGTTTCCCTCCACTTCATCTGACAAAGGAGCAGCATTCCGAAAGCTTGTGATTTCAAATAAACCTGTTGGATTAGAACCTGGTGTCGTGTGACTTCTGACTGTCCACCTCAGTCCAACACTGGCACCTCTACATCATGACCTTTTTCAAGAGGAGGGAAGTGGTGATAGATTACAAAGTTGAGAAACTGGAACTGATACTTCAGTTGGAGAGCATTGGATAGACCTTGTTCAGTGAACACATTCAATTTTGGGTGAAATGCCCTGGGAAGGACAGAGGATCTAATTGCCAGGTCAAAACAAGATGTGGAGAAACAATTTTCTCAAATGAGAAGAATCAAGAATAAGGTGAGGGGAATAACCTTAAAATTAGAACTGACCTATTCAATAGTGATGTTGGGAAGCATTTCCTCACACAAAGAGTAGTGGCAACCTGAAACTCACTCAGTCTCTCTCCCTGAATGGAATGTGAATGCAGAGGATCAATAGAAGCTCTTAAGACAGAAAATAGACTTTTTTGCTAGGTAGGGGTATCCAAAAACAAGCAACAAAGGCATGTAAATGGACTCATCTAATTAAATGAAGACACAGGCTTGATGGACTGACTGGTTTGTTTCTTCCAGCCCTTTCACAGCCACATCTAGATTGTCATCAGCTACATGTCAGTTCAACCAATTTGGAAAGCAGCAAATCAAGAACTAACAGATTGAGAACCTGACCAGCAAAGGGTGAACATGTTAAATTTACACAAAGAACTAAAGGACAGGTTAGAAAACTGTGTCCACAAAGAAGATAGCTAAAAGGCTGGATTTTCCTCATGGACACTCTTGATGCAATAGAGTCCATAAATTATTTTCAAGGCTACTAAGCATCCATAAAATCAATCTTCCAGTTGTGGTGGGGTGATGAGGGCAGTCACCACTGATTAAAACTGACCTGGACCAATCACGGAAATACCATGGCTACAAGAGTAGGTAATAGGTTAGGAATCTTTAGCAAGTAACTCACCTCCTGAATCCCCAAAGCCCATTCAACATCTACAAAGCACGTGTCCAGAGGAGAGATTCTAGAAGTGCACAAGCCTGAAATAAATCAGGAGCACCAGGGAGAAGATAGAGAGAGGTCCAGGCTTGGGGCATTTTACCTACTGAAGGAGAGAATTGAGAGTTGGAGCGAACTCGGACACAGAGCTTGAAGAAGTGAGAGAAAAATAAAATCGAATGATAATGTTACCAGAAGATCATAAAATGGAGGAGCAGACCTGGCCATTTAGTCCATCAAGTCTGTTCTTTCATTCAATGAGATCAAGGCTAATCTGACAACCCTCGACTCACTTTTCTGCCTTTTCTCCTTCGCCCTTGATTCCCCTACTGATCTGTCTGTCTGTCACAGCCTTGAATATAGTTAACAAACCAGTTTCTACATTCTTCCTCATATGTGTCTTAAATGGCTGTCCCTTATTGAGATTATGCCCTCTATTCCTCGACTCTTCCAAAAGGGAAAACAACTTGCCCACATACCTTGTATCTACCCTTGAATGTTGTATTTTCCAATAAGGTCACCTTTCACTATTCTAAACTCAAATTAATACAGGTCTAACCTACTCAATCCTTCCTCCTAAGACAGGTTCCCCTCCCCACCACCCCACCATACCTGGCATCAAACTAGTAACCTTCTCTGGATTTTCCCCTATTCCAGTATATAATTCCTTAGATAAGTAGCCCAAACCTACTCCCTGTATTCCAGCTGTGGTTGGACTAGTGCCTTGTATAGCTTTTACAGGACTTCCCTTCTTTTGTACTCCATTCCCTTTGAAATAAAGACTAACGTTCCACGTGCCTTCCCTATTACCTACATGCTAGCTTTTTGGGATTATTGAACAAGGATTTCCAAATCTCTCTCTGCTGCAGCTTACTGCAGTCCTTCTCTATTCAAATAATCTTTAGCTCCTCAATTCTTCCTTCAAAATGCATAACCTCATATTTTCCCACATTATATTCCATTAGCGCAGTTGCTTAAACAGTCAACTGTGCAGATTTCTTAGTCATTCTCAACTTGCATTCACACCTATTTTTGAACTGCCTGATGGGAGTCAGTTACCTGACAGCTAGTTTGCAATACAGAGACGCTAACAGCATGGGTTCCACTCCCATACCACCGGAGCTTATCATGACAGTCGCACCTTTCGTCCTCACCCCTTGCCTGAAAAGTGGTGATCCTTAGGTTAAGCCACCACCTGTCCCCTCTCATTTTCTCTGAATGAGAGAGCATCTCTGTGGTCCTCTGGGATTATTTCATGGAGTTTGGTTAGGTCAGTTGGCTGGACAGCTGGTTTGTGATGCAGGATAATGTCAACAGCACAGGTTCAATTCCCGTACCAGCTGAGGTCACCATGAAGGCCATTTCTTCTTAATCTCATGTCCCAGCTGAGATGTGATAACCCTCAGGTTAAATTCACCACCAGTCATCTCTCTCTAATGAGAGAACAGCCACTTTGGTCCTCTGGGACGATGGCAACTTTACTTCTTTTTGTCAGTTGCGAACGTGGCTGTGCTATTCATTTTCCAAATCCAAATCATTGATATATATTGCAAATAATTCTGATCCCAGCATTGATCCCTGCGCCACTCTACTAGTTACAGATAGCCATCCTCAAAATGGCCCTGTTAACTAAAATCTATCTTCTATTAGTTAAAGTCAGAAGGCACATGTATAGTGCAACAGGTTTATTTAAATTCACAAGCTTTTGGAGCACAGCTCTTTTTCAGAGAGAGATGGGGGTGTGCAAGCGCGCGCGCGCGTAAGAGAGAGAGAAACGGAGATGCGTGCACGCGCGAGAGAGAGACAGTAGTGCGCAACTGGGGGCGGGGGTCAGCGTGTGTAAGCAAGGGTTGGAGGGTTTCACCGACAGGGAGGGGCTGAATCGGCTGGGGCTATTTTCCCTGGACCATTGGAGGCTAAGGATTGACCTTATAGAGATTTATAAAATCATGAGGGGCATGGATAGTGTGAATAGACAAGGTCTTTTCGCTGGGGGAAGAGGCTTTCAAAACTAGAGGGCATAGGTTGAACGCGAGAGGGGAAAGATTTAAAAGGGACCTAAGGGTCAACTTTTTCACACAGAGGGTGGTGCCCGAATGGAATGAGCTGGCAGAGGAGGCAGTAGAGGCTGGTAAAATGACAACGTTTAAAAGGCATCTGGATGAGTAGATGGAAAGGAAAGGTTTAAAAGGGATATGGGCCAAATGCTGGCAAATGGGACGAGATCAATTTAGGATATCTGGGCAGCATGTGGACGAGTTGGACCGACAGGTCTGTTTCCGTGTTGTACAATCCTATAACTCTTGAGTGTGAGAATGTGTGTATGTGTATATATCGGGCAGGCTGGCGGGTGGGTGGGGTATGGAGGGAAGGGAAGGGAAGGGAAGGAAAGGAGTACAGGATGTATGCCTTAAATTGTTGGGACATCTGGACCAGCCCTAGGGGAGAGGCAACCTTTACAGATCAGACAGATGGCACTTCAACAGACCAGGGACAAATGTTTTTATGGATTGATTTGCTAGTGCCGCCATTGGGGAGGATTTAAACTAACTTGGCAGTGGTTGTTCCCTGGAATAAGATCATGGATATCACAGAACAGTTGTAGGCCACACTTTTAGGGGATAGTAAAGAGTCAGACGTCATGGTTCACGTTGATAACACGGAGTTAGGTGGGAAGGGAACTCAGATCTTCAAAGCAGCCACAAGAAGCTAGGAAGGAAACTGGAAAACGAGGATACCCAATGCAGCAATCTCAGGATTGCTCCTAGTCCCATATGCTAGTGAGCATAAAAATTAGAGAATTAAAAAATTGAACATGTGGCCTGGTGTAGGAGGGAGGGCATCAGATTTGTGGTATTGGGACCAATGCAAGATAGATAGGCTGTATTTTGGCAGGACCAGGATTATACATCCTCACAGAGAGATTTGCTAGTATCGTCACAGGGAGGGTTTAAACTAGATCAGCAGGGAAATGTGTTTCAATTCAAGGAAGCAAATTTAGGAAAAGGAAGTTGAACAGTAGCCAGCAAAGAAACAAAACAGACAAAGCAATGCCAGGCATTAAATAAGAACAGAATGAAGAAAAATTCAAGAAAGACTTTTTATTTATGCATGGAATGTGGGCTTTGCTGGCTGAGCCAGCACATTATTGATTCCCATCTGAATGATCCAAATGCACAAATTGAGGCAAATGGATACAATTTAATTGCCATTACAGGAACATATCTACAGGGTGACCAAGATTAAGAACTGAATATCCAAGAAAATTGACGTTTAGGAAAAGTAAAAAGGAAGAGGTCAGATGGCATCCCTACTAAGAGATGGCTTTAGTACATTAGCAAGGGAGAATTTCAGGGTGGAGGAACAAAGGTTGGATTGTTTGAATGGAGCCAAAAAATAGAAAAGGGCAGCAGATATTGTTTGGAGCTATTTATAGGCCACCAAATAGTAGTGGCAGCGTGGGCATGGTATTAATCAGGAGGTGAAAGAAGTTTGGAACATGGCAACACAGTTATCATAGGTAACTTCAATTTGCAGTTCTGGTTGAAAGCAGCAGCAATAATACAGAATAGCTCAATGTCATCCATGTCAAAGCAGCTCACTTGCTCAGCACCAGCTTTAACATTAACTCTCTCCACCACTGGCACACAGTGGCAGTATGTGCCATTTACAAGATCCAACATATAACACATTAAACCTGCTTGGGCAACCCTTAAAAACTGTGGCCTCTATCACACAGAAGAAGAGTAACAGGCACGTGAGAATACCACCAGTTCCAAGCTCTCCCTCGTATCATAGGCTACACCCAATATGGAACTATATCATAATTCTTAGATCATTTGAGTCAAATTCTGAACTCCCTTCCCAAAAGCATTGTGGGTATATCTACACCATTTGGACTGCAAGGGTCCAAGGCAACTCAGCACCATATTCAAGGGCAGTGAGGGATGAACAATAACTGTTGGCTTTACCAGCTACACCAGCAACACATGAATTTGTTTATTTTTAAATAATGAGGGGCAGGGTGGGCTCAAGCGAAGAATCCATGTGAAACAGATGAGCTAAATAGCTCATGTCAGTGTCACAATGTTCCATAATCCTGTACATATTGATAATTCATAAAAATAGGGAACATTCTGTTTTGTACGCTTGTCACAAGTTCTATTCTTGAACCTAATGTCAATACACAGTGTAAGAACAATTAGAGTTGTGTTTTAAGGCTGGCTGGATTATCAAAAATAGCCTTAGCACAAATGTCTCACAATAAGTCAGCAACTTTCCTGCCAAGTGAAAACATCTTTTGTTCTCTCCTCTCCTGAAGGCACTGCATACTGAGCGAACGATCAACAGACACCAGCTGCCCAGTGTCAGTCATTACTCTGAGGATAGTATTTTTGCCTCTGGAGACTTGAGCACAAAAGTCCAAGCTCTCACTCTACTGTTTGAATGTCATTGCATTAGATTTCCTTTGGATGAGATGATAAATTGAGGGCCCAACTTTCTCGCAGATGGATGTAAGTGAGAAAGTCTGTAATAGCAAGTGCAAGAGTGAGCAGTGATAAGGGCATCTGGTCAGATTGACAAGGTGTAGAAATTGACATTCCATTGTTGTTCACCATTTATATGGACGTTTTAGACTCAGAATTCAGATCAGTCATTCTATTGAATGGCAGAGCAGGCAGAAGAGTTGATCGATTTACTTCCAAGTTCCTATCATTCAAAAGCATAATTTCAAAATCTGCACATGACACAAAATTGGGGGTGTAACGAACAAGAGGAACAGTTCAATAAATGTGGTGAAAGTCCATTGTGCGCAGTCACTGGGGTCCAATGAGAACAAAGCCATGTAATAACTGAACCCTGGATAGAATCGAGCTTAGGAGGGAGATGGATCAGGAACACAGGAGGGAGTAAGGTCGGACTGAAGCTGAGGGACGAGTGGACTGAAGGAGGGAGGAAGTTGGCATCGGAGTGGGCTGGGGGTGATTTCAAAGGAGAGAGTCGGCATCGAAGACAGTATCAGGTCAGGCTGGGCCGAGGAGGGAGTCGAAGCCACAAGACCCCTGCATTATATGTGCATTCACTGCAAATTGAATCACGATATATCTGACTTCCACTCTGTAAGACAATGATAAAGTTTCAGAATGTGCATGCAGCTACGCATTTATTTGAACATAAACAACTGTGTGCTGGCATATTTTAGCAGGAAGTACTGGGAGATCATACATCACATGAACAATAGGTCTATATGTGTTCAAGGAAGAGAGATGTTGAGTTATTGGCATGTAACTCACAAAATAGTAATAGATAATAAAGCAAACACAGCATGGGGAATTGGGGTGGTTGAAGGAGGCTGGTCATCCTGAATGAGAGAGAAGAATTGTGTTAAGCTTGTGCAAGGGTGTGAAAGGTTATCGGAGGTAGATAGGAGAATGGAGTGACCTGATCACCATTATCATATTGAACAGTGAAGCAGGCTCAAAGGAGCCAAATGACCTACTCCATCTCTTCATTCATACATTCATCCGTTTGTATGAATCAAACCTTGGCTAGACCACTTAGAAGGATCAGTCTTTATATTATAAAACAAAAATGAAACACTGAGGAAGGGAAGGTATGAAAAAGATTTACAAGAATGCTATCAGAACTGAGAAATAGAAATAACAGGGAAAACCGAAGAGGCGAGGGCCCTTTCCTGTAAAACAAATGGAGGGATGGCCTTGGACAGAATTTTTAAATTATGAATGAGTTTGATAGGACAGATACAGACGCTGTTTCCAAATGCGAGGAAGACCAATTCTAGAGGCCATAACGGCCAGTCAAAAACCCAATATTGGGATTTTAAAAAAAAGTACTTCAAAGCGATGAAAACGTGGAGCTTGTAGTAAGACGTGACTGAGGTGTACAGAACTGACACATTTGAGGGGAGGCTTCATAAGAATGTAAGGAAGGAGGAAACAGAAAGATATGTTGATGAAGGGGCCATGGAGAGGATAACGAATTTCACTGGGTGGAGTTAAAGCTTGTGAGGCGTGTAAGCACTGCTCGGTCAAATGGCTGTAAATTTTCAAGCAACCAATGAAGCAAAACTCCTCAAGATTTTAAAATTCTTGCCATGTAAATAACTCACTGCTAAACACTTCCTGAAATTAATCCTACCATTTTATATGAGTGTATCCCACAATTCTACTGGACTATAATGTTTTGTTAGGCCCTGGTGTTAGATCACTCTAAGTGGATGACTTTCTCCAGACTTACTGGTCGTGCAATTTTCATTGGGCTAGCGTCATCATCAGTGGTACCATTGGGTCCTATTCCATCCTTCCGTCTCTTCCTGGAGTTTGATTTGACAATCTGCGTCGTCTCCATCTCATTAGGTATCTGAAGTGATTACAGATAAAGGCAAATCCACAAATTAAACTCTGATGTTAATCTGACTAACAAAGACTAGACAACGAACGTATTTTAAAATAAGATTATCACCAGGATTAGGTGGAGATCCAAGCACGGTCAAACTGAAAACAACACGTGTGCTATGCACCTCGCATATGCTTACGCAGCAGCAGTTAGTGGTCAGCAACTAGGTCCAGTCACAGTTAGAAGTCTGGTCAAGTTCTGCCCCTTCCCTGGACAGGGAAACAAAATCAGCTAGGTGCACAAAATGGGTGTCAAACCTACAACATGAAATCCACTGCTCAAAACCCTCGAGTACAAATCATCAACCCATTTTTAAATAAATTAATGGCAAGATGGTGGCAGAATAAGGCTCCTGAGCCTGGGGCTTGTCCACTCCATCCATTTTTCTTTCCTTTTTTCTCTTTTCTCTCTTCCTTTTTACTTACCTGTTGTGAAGAACTCAGTCGCAACAACAGCATTAGTGGCAGCGAGGTGAGCCCAGTGTGGACTCCGGCGGAAGCATCAGAGGCAAGTTTGGGCTCCCGGCAGCTTCTGGATCAACGAGGAGGGCCCAGTGTCGACTCATGGTTGCTGTGGTAGAGATGAGTTTGGGTTCCCCACAGCAGCTGCATCCAGCGCAAACACATGGAGGCGGCAGTGCAGGCAAGTTTGGGCCCAGTACGAGATCCATTAGCATCAATGCTGGCTGCATCGGAGAGGTGGGCCCAGAGCGGCCTCTTGGTGGCAGTTTAGGCCAAAGCTGGACTCAGCAGCATCGCAGGCAGCTGCACTGGCAAGGTCCAGTGAGGACTCAGGGTGGTGGCAGCGTCAATGGTGGTGGCTCTTGTCCTGGCAGCTCACCAAGGGACTTGTGGCTGGCCACTCCAGGCCTATGGCTAAGCATTTAACAAGAAGGACTGTAAACTTGAACTTTATTTCTTTATTCTTTTGCCTCTATATTCTTGGTTTTAGTTTATTTTTCTGTGCTTGAAAATAGCGCCAGAGAGAGTGGTGACACTGCTATACTTTTCACTATTTTGCAACAAAATACACGTGACAATAAATAAAACAAATAAAATGTTGGATACAGTCATAGTGCCAAAGGTTCAAGACAGCATTTCACAACATCTTCTCAAGGGCAACCAGGGAACAGGAAATAAGTACTGGTGATGCCCATGTCCACAAATTAAGTTAAAAAAACCAGCCAGAATGGCACAGCAGTGCCTCAAATTTCATACTAGGCTTGAAATGTTCCACCATTTCTACCTCAAAAGCTCCACAGTAAGGATGGCTGTTTAATTCCAGCAATTTGGTGACTACCTCCAGAATATATGGCACAAACTTACTTTCTACAAGACTTCCTTACACGTGCCATACCAAAGGTGTGGCTCCCCAGGATAATCAGAGCCTTATCCTCACACAGCGTTCTCTCCAAGCACTGAAGCATGATAATTTTCATGGAATCATCGGGATACACAGTCCCAGCTGAGCTCTTGCTACCTTCGACAGGATGTGGAGATGCCAGTGTTGGACAGGGGTGGACAAGGTCAGAAATCACAGAACACCAGGTTATAGTCCAACCAGGTTTATTTGAAACCACAAGCTTTCAGTTTTTCTTCTTTGGCCGCTGCACTATGGATCTCCCTGTCGACTGCTCCGGTTCGCTGGCTGTCTCACTGGGCTTGCTGTTGACATCTTGGGGTTTGCGAAAAAAACCTGGAGCCTCATTTGCCCCTGATGAATTCCTCTGTGTCTACCGTGAGACTAATGGGGCCCTTTTTGGAAGTGGGGCAGAAATTGAGCCCTCAGCTGATTTCGTCTAGTTGAAGGGCATGGTCAGATAAGTTGACAATGGATTTCCCGTTGTAGAACTGGTTTCAACTGTGGTAGCAGGGGAGGCTTGGTTACTGCTGGTGGTGATGCCAAGTTTCTCGAGCTTCCTGTTATTGGTGTGCATGTAGGTGGCGTAGTTCCATTGCCCCGCCTACTTGGCAGTGTCTCGTAGCTGGCCTGCCGCAAGCTGAGAATATGGACTCTATTGCGATTTCAAGGTTGCGGCATCTGCTGTGGAGCTGGTGTACGAGATAATTGAGGACTGTGCAAGAGGTGGGACAGCAGAGTCTCTCAGTTTAGTCTGTGTTGTAGGTCGATTTGAGTGAGTTTGTGATCTGCAGTCCTTTCGGGATCTTCTCTGCTTTCTTGCATCTCTGCGTCGATATGCGTGATCTTCTTGGAGATCATCTCCATTTTGAGCCAGCAGTTTGTGGTGTTAATGATATGGAGGTGCTGGTGTTGGACTCAGGTGGACAAGGTCAGAAATCACATGACACCAGGTTATAGTCCAACAGGTTTACTTGAAATCACAAGCTTTTGGACTTTGACAAGGTACAGTAATGAGGCATTGTGTTATCAGACTAGTAATCCAGACAATGCAGAGAAATTCAACTCCTGATGTGGCATTTCCAGAATTTCACTTCCAGGGCAAAAATAAAATTCATAAATGGTTATGAAGTTGCTGGATTGTCATCAGAACCCAAGCAGTTCACTGATGTCTTTTAGAGAAGAAATCCTGCCAGCTTTACCTGGACTGCGTCTATGTGGTACTTCAGTCTGAACCTTAACTCCAATAAAAGCAAAGTACTGTTGATGCTAGAGATCTGAAATAAAGATAGGTAGTGTTGGAAAAACTTGGGTTCCGAAGAAGAGTCACATTGAACTTGAAATGCTAACTCTGTATTTTGTTCCACAGATGCAGTCAGACCCGAATTTCTTCAGCAACATTTGTTTTTACTTAAAAAGACTGACTAATGACTCAGTTGTATCAAATTTCAAGGCAATTTGCCATAATCGCCTACATTCCAAATACCTTTGGGTGTTTTATGATCTTAAAAGGATCCATATAAAATGCAAACCAGTGTCATAACAAGCAAGATCACATTGTTCAGCACAGTTACAGTGACCAAACATGGTAATCATGGTAACAACTTAACCTTTGGTAAACAATAATATAAAGAACCCAGAGAGACAAGGTATGGATGAAAGACACAGGACAGAGGTCACCGAGTCACACATCGTGATAAATGGTACAGAACAGTGCGTAGAAGCGAGCAAAGGCCTAAAAAGAACAAACTTGCTTCCATAACCTCAGGACATCCTACAGTTCACAGCTAATGAAGTAGGAAATACAACAGACAATTTGTGCACAGCAAAGTCACACAGTCAGTCACATAACAATAAGCTGACCATCTTTTTAAATGATAATGGCTAAGGGATAAATATTGGCCAAGGCAACGTGATCCCCTGTAGATGAGGAAAATGCAAGTGAGGATCTTTCCTGTCCATCTGAGAGAACAGAGAGATCCTTGGGTTTAATGCTTCATCCAGAAGTCACCACCTCTGACAGACTCCCCAGTACTGCCACTGGGCATGTCCGTTTAGGTCATAGGCCTCCTGCATCTGGAATCGATCTTAAAACTGAGAGTTCTGTTGAGGCTCGTTGCATAACACATCGGACCAAGGCTAACACTCACTTAATTTGGTCACCTGACCTTTTTTTCTGTCACTCAGTGTTAAATTCTGCTCCTGTGAAGTCACTTGGGACCACATATTACCATAAAAGCACATTATAAATGCAAGTTGTTCTTGTTGAGAGTAAAATTAGACAGGATGCAAAACCAATGCTGCCCCAGCTCCAATCAGTTTCCCCAACGGGCAGTGAAGCTGAAGTCGGGCCCATGTGCTCCAACAAGATCTGATTGCAGGTTGATGTAGTCAAGCCACCTCATATCTGCAACACTGTGATAACATTTCTTCCATTCACCCAAGAATTTGATACAATCAGCTGAATAACAGGAAAGCGGTAATTCAGTGCTAAAATAAAGTTCAGATCATTCAAATAAGCAGCTATGAATGACACATGCAGTTTGCATGCATGAACCACCTAACTGCACTCCACAGCACAGCAGAATAATCTTCTTCAGCACAAAGTTAGTGCTGTCGCCCCCTCCCACTACTTTTCTAATGCCAGGCTCAATCACATAGTGGATTATACCCCAAGATGGACAGGGAGAAACAGGACACTAGATCAAACAAAGTTCTATTTCTGTTCTGGATTTGAACATTTGTCTCCTCTTGCTTTCTCTTTGTTAAGAGTTTGTTAATTCTGCTGACCTCAAGTCAGGCGTTTATGGGTTAAACTCCACAATCCAGGGACCTGAACATGTCATCCAGGTTGCATTGTTAATGCATTACTCAGCATCAGGGGCACTGTCGGAAGTTCCTCTTTCAGACTAGATTTGACTCCAAGTTTCTATCTTTCTACTCGCGAGTAAAACATTCCTCAGTGACACTTGCATAGAACAGCAGCAGAGTCCGTCTGAGTGTCTGGAGGAAACATTGGTCCTAAATCGTGAAAACAGATCATTTGGTCATTTCATGTGTGGAAGCTTGCTATGTGCAAAATAGATGCAATGTTTCTGAAACTATAACAGTAAACAGTAGCCATACAAAAGAAAAGAATTGACCGTGTGGCAGCGATTTTGGAAAAGCAAGCGTACCTCTCTTGGGAGGTGTGCACCTGTGTGTAGTTTGGGGTGTCTGGGAGGAGAGGCAGCCGCACTGTTGTCTTGCCGAGGATGTTTTTGGCAAGCACCAATGCAGGACAGCTGCAATGCTTTAAAAACACCGCATGTTATATTTGTCTTCTAAACAACAGAGCCAGGGGACCTCCTGCAAACAATAACACTCCCAATGCCCCTGCACATCATGAACCACTCGCAGTGTCCCAAACTCAAAGACAGAATGAGTTCACCAAAGCAAGGGTACATTGCTGTAAGCACTTTTTGAGAAGGAGTCGAAATAATCAGCTATTAAATCCACCATTGTTAATCCATAGACCATTTGCAAATGACAGGTTACAAAAGTATGCCTCAGTGAAACTGCCAGACAGTGTGGGCGTAACAGGCACTTGGAACTGCAGTCGTGGGTGTGTGCAAATCTTATCCGAGTTCAAAATTCTTGAAACCTCCAACTGACTTACCGAACTGTCCCTGCCCAAGTCTCAGATGCTCTCGGAACTTGGATGTCTACACTTACTGTTGTCTCGTTAGTTGCACTGTGCTGTTGATCAATTTAGATCTAATACTGGCAAAGGAGCCAACAAGCAGGCATCTGTCTAAAGTCACTTTCTTGCCACTCCTGTGAGCTCATGAATGGCACCCGAGGATTGTGGGCTCACCATTCATGATGTCACAGGAACAAGTGTTCCACACGCAATGTCTGCCCCAAAGGCTGACATTAAAATAAAGGACAACTAACCAGGGAAACTGTGGAAGTAAAAGCCACAGCAACTCCATCAGGGAACTTTTAGAATCTGCCCGAGGAGTTAACTAGGCCCCTAGATTGACACCCCATCTTAAGGATGACATTTCTAATAAGAGTGACACGGCCTTGACGTCTCTCTCTCCCTCTTCCATCTCACCCCACAACAGTGGAGCGTCCCTCTGACACTGCGCAACTTGCTCACCCCCAACAATGTAGTGCTTCCTTGACACTACTCAATCTCCAAAAAACGTGTGGCACTCCGTTGACACAGCCAGCTTCCCTCGCTCGCCCATTCCCAACTCCCTCACAGAATGTGCAGCACTCATTGGTATTGAGTCTCCAACAGTAAAGTACTCCCTCATACTAACAATCCAGAGATCTATGATAACATCTGGGATGTAGGTTTGAATCCCACCGGGGAAAGTGGTGAAATCTGATCTCAATTAACAAATCTGGAATTAAAAGCTAGTCTAACTGTGACCATGAAACCATTCAATGATTGCCATCATAACCAAACAAATTCACTAAAGTCCTTTAAGAAATATCTTCCATCCTTTCCAGTCCAGCCTGATCTTCAACAATTGCTCTGTATCCCATGAAGTGCCATGGTATCATGTCAAATTTGGGCAAAGAAACTCCTGCTGATTACCAAGTACCACCTCTGACCCTCCCTCAGCTGATGAAACAGCTGCCACAGGAGTCCTCAATAATGATACTGGGCCCCATGAAGACTAAAGACATCAAGTGAAACAAGGTCAAGGAAACCTCCTGTGGATTACCACCTTCTGCACCTCCAATGAAAAAATGAGGGTGGCAAGGGCACATAATGTACTCTGATGGGAGATGTCAGTGTCCATTACTCAGCAGCAGTACGATTGACCAAGCTAGTCAGGTCCTAAAGGACACAGCTGTAGGTAGTAAGGGAACGAACACGACGGAAACTATACTTGATCATTTTCACCAATGTTCTTGCAGCAGAAGCATCTGTCCATGGCCGTATGAATAAGAGTGAATTCCAAACAGCCCTTGTGGAGTTCACATCCCCTCTCCCTCACATGAGGATACTTTCCATCACACTGTGCAGCCACCATGCTTATGAGGATCAATTTCAAACATATCTAGATACTCAAGTCTAGGCATTCACAAGCCAATAGGGCCATCAGCAGTCCTAGAATTGGACTCCAACACAATCTCCAAACTTATGGCTTATCCTATCCCCCAGTCTGCTTCAAGCTGGGGCATCGACTCTGGTTCAGTGAAAAGTGCAAGAGGATATGCCATTAGCAGAACCATCCTGACAATATTACAGGAATAATACTGAAGATTTGCTTCAGAACTAGTCTAAGCCCAAAAAAAGCTGAAACAGTAATGAAGACGTTAATTAAGTCTATGCAACAATGTGGACAATTACCCAGATATGTCTTTGTACCCAAAAGGTTGGTCAAGTCCAACTGGACCAATCTGAGAAAGAGACACGAATTGACTAAACAAAGCATCAAGCAACCCTGGCAAAACCGGAGTCAATGAGGAACAGGTGAAAATCCCAGGCCCCTGACCCTCCGGCAGCGCGGCGCTCCCTCGGCACCCACCCTCCGACGGCGCATCGCTCCCTCAGTACTGACCCTTGGTCAGAGCTGCACTCCCCGACTGCGCGGCGCTCCCTCGGCACCCACCCTCCGACGGCGCATCGCTCCCTCAGTACTGACCCTTGGTCAGTGCTGCACCCCCCGACAGCGCGGGGCTCCCTCGGCACTGACCCCCCGACAGCG